GTGATTAATGACAATAATAAAGCACTGATTGCTTAAATCATCGCAGATTCCAACGCCAAGGCATCAGCCCCATGAATGAAAGATATATGACATGGCTCAATCACGGAAATTTAATGGAGACAGACATCGCATTTATGTGGTTACAGCTATCTCTTCTTTCATGGAAAACAGCATGTTTCCTTTGAGGCAAAAAACCTTAAGTCTGTTCATAATTAGTAATTAGTGGTAACTGTATCAACGGTATCGTCGTTGGTACGGCGTAAAAACCAAAACAATGATCCCAGTGCCAATGCCACCAGATCTCTGAAGAAACCTGTTTCATTCTTTACACACACGCCTCTCGCATCTTCCCGTCTCTTTGTTCAGTAGCATGAACAGCTTGAGGGAGTAAGCAGGGTTCATCAATCAAAAGTAAGGTGAACCATAAGCGAACTGATATTAAACAGTTGAAATTTCTCCGTAAAATCGAGCAGTTCAGACAACTCACATGGAGAGAAAAAAATCGTGTTTTGAATTCCGGCAAGGTCACTCTTTTTTCATCCATCTGAAGTAGAAAAACAAAAACATCTAAACATTGAGGAAGCAGGAGAATACACGCTGCAGTGGTCATACCAAACCGTAGAAATTGCTTATAAATAAATGACACTCTTTGACGATGGAAAGCAGAGGAATATACTGTTGCAACATAAGCTCCAAGGAAGACTACTAAAATACCGCACAATAAGCAAGCGTACGGATGATTGAAATCCCACTGGCTACCAATCTTTTAGCTCCGTCCGTTGTGTAAATGCAACAATATGCTTCAGGTGAAATCACAATGAGAAAGCGGCCCTCTAACCGTTAGGAAGGTCAAGTAGAGAAAATGCCGGTCATGAAGATATTCAGTAGCTGTTGGTGGCAAATAATCCTAAGGAATCAGTCAAGAATATCGGTGACACGCAGACCAAAACGAAAGATATTTTTTATGAATTGGATAAGCTGACTCGTTTACGTTCTGCTTATGAACTTGTTCTTTGCAGCATTACAACAAATGTACGAACAAGTCAGCTGAGAAAGCCGGTGCACAATTACGGTCATAAAATTAGGTAGTAATAACACGCAGAATTAAAATTCGGCTATACGTACTTTTCGAAAGTCATGAATAATGAGAGCTGGCCGATTTGGACCAAAACTGGGTATTTTAAGCTTTTCAACTTCGTTTTCCGAATCGACTTCAACTTGCTGCCAAAGTTTCAGCGAGTGGACATTGTGCTGAGGAACATCTACGACGCATGATCCAAAAAAAGTTGGCTAAAAAATTATTCTTGCCCTTGTAAAGGAGAAATATTTGATTTATTCACTCAAACGCAATAACGAAGAATACCGCTCCAAAAGTCTGATTAAAAATTTGCGTAAGTAACGATAAATTACTGAATTTTCAACTACCACATTCACTAATAGAGTGAAATACCTATTTAAAGGGTAAGTGACAGAAACACACATATAATGATAAAAGTCATCTACATCGTTTTGTTAGAAGTTGAAGAAACATATTACACAATTTCAGGAAAGGAAATATGGTGCAACATAAAGAGAACTTTGTACAAAAACAGCAAGGAGGCTAAAGAAAGATATGCATAACAGAATTACATGATACAATTATATGATGAAAGTGGTATCAAAAAAATACGCAATAAGAAAGAGCAGTATTCCTTATTCAGGAAAAGGTTTCGGTATGCATCTGTTTAAGACAGTGACAGATACCTTATGAACTTGCAGGAGGAGGGCGGGTTATATATATTATTTAGATGATGAGTTATTGTGCAACGAAAATCAGAGCGCTCAAAGCATTTCTTAAAATAGCGGTATCCCCTCAGAATAATTAAAAGAGTTCACATGACGGATGCTTGGGCAAACAAACCTCTGAGTAACCAAATCGCCGATGAAAGCAGACAGGCATATGCTACATAAAACAAACCTTGGAGTAGCTGTGTTATTATGCAAAACAACGGGATGATCGATATCAAATCACGAAGCCAGTCGAAACACTTGCGGTTTAAATAAAGACACGTGACACAATATGAAAATGACTACCAAGCTAATGGAGAGAGTGCACAGAACTGCAGTAAGAATAATGTTGCATAAATCTGAATGTTCGGTCACATACTGGAGCAGCAGAATTAACAGCTTTACTGAACAGTAATGCAATTCTTACATGCTTGCGACGTCAACAAGAAGGCTTATACCAAAAACTCCCAGTAGTCATAAGGTGAAATTTACTTAGATGAACCAACAGGAGACTCCGCCATGGCCGATCCCAAGCCCGAATGAGAAAGTAGGAGGGTTAGAGACCGTGGCAAGTCTCCGAAAAATTCAGCCACCTGTCACTCATGGTATTGACGCCATCGAAAATTATACCGGCTCGGTCGTCGCCCGGGATACCAAGGGCCGCGCAGGCTGTTGGGGGACTGAGGCAGACTGCGAAAAGCGATCAGAACCTGCTCACTGCCTTCTGCCAGCCGGGGGCGTGGCAGCACAAGGACGGCTGACGAAGACCGACGCAACGACGACGAAGATACCA